GGATCTTCGAAGATCTATGGGAAGCCTCCATGGTCATATTCGGCATCAGCATGCTCGATAACCTATAACCCCTATAATATTTTGGTTCAAGACCTTCAGGTTTAACTAGAGGCAAGAAAGGGTTAAATTATCTTGTGATAGTTGATTAAATTCAGTTACAGTATATTTCATAGAAAAACGACTTCGAAGAACGGCTGAAAATGTGGATGTTGAATCGAGTGTATATTGGTAATGTGAACCAAAGCATAAGTTATCACTACAATTACAATAGATATATTCGTCGTTAACATTATTCTCATCAGATATTTCGAGATATTTTCCATAGTCGTTCATTATTTCGATCGGTGAATGCCATTCATACAAATCTGGGATTGTTATATCTAACAGTTTTAAATCAGCAAATCAAATTTCATTTGCATAACATACTTCCTCTTGTTGATACGTCAACCTTTTGGGTGATGGCCGAATACAATAGAGAATAGTTACCAAGATATTATCTATATCATTTAGCAGATTAATATTTTCTCGTAATTTTGAATAATAATAAATACAATCATAATAATCGACGTTATTTTCTGTTTTATTCTTACGTGTATCATGAAGATAAAAAGAGCCATTGATTGACAAAAGCCGCGTTAAAGAATAACTGACAATGCTGATTAAAATCGTTCTTACACCCATATGAGAAAGTTAAACAACAGATAGATTATATCAAAAATATCATTTTTTTAATGACTTGAGAGTTCATAAGATACACTCTGCATCAACACACAGATTAAAAGACACAGGATATGTGTTTTATTATCAAATTATTAACTTACGCTGATTAGATAATCGTCTGCACGAGAAAAAGTATATTCATTCTTTTATCGCTTAAAATAACTAAATTATACCTGTTTGGGTACATTTTCTTCGGTTTTATTTGCTCAAAATCGATGGCTCACAGCTCTACATGTTTTTTTTAAAAACTGTTTATAAATAGGTAAAAGTCGTCAAATTTAAGTACCTTCGTTGAGTGATACGGGTAATAGTAATAAGCTAGCGACAGATCTTCTAGAAAAATATGAGTTATTGAACAATCATTTGCACACCAACTAACAATCACACTGTTTTTCCTATTATCACTGAAGCCATTATTTGTTATGTCTTCTTTTCGAATTTATACTACTAAAGTTTACGAATTACTTTTGCATCTAGATACCTGTAAAGTATGTGCGCCTGGTACCAGTAACCAGTAGCGTTGATACAATTTCTTTCGTATAATAACAAGAAACTGTCTTCACTTATCCTAGTCGAACATTTTATGGACGTAAATTAACAAACTCATACAAGGGATATTCTGTTATCAACTTATCGGGATATTTTTTATCCAGATTATTCGAAAATTATTCAGTCATTATTATTATTTTAATGACCGAATGTGTTCAAACACTATGGCAGGAAGAACTTGATTCACGTAAAATTCATAGTCTGCGTCGGATTTTGTTCTCATTAAGTTGGGGAGGTAGCAAAAGGTCGACAGAAAAATGCTGACAGACAAATTTCGAAAAGCATAGTGTCAACAAAAGAAATATGTCGACCGTGCAAAATGTCGACAATTGAAAAAACATAACAAAATTGAACTGTGATCAAATTGTATATATTATTGACTAAGTTAAAATCTAATACACGTGAGTACAATAAATAGTATGTGTATAGTAGTACGTGGACAAACAGCATGGACTGCGTCAAAAAGTGATTTTTGGCCACTGGAATTGATTGGATGAAAAGTTCACAGAAATTCACTTTCGAGCTTTTAGTCATAAATCCAAAAGGTCACCTGGATTCTTCCAGTCAATTCTGAGAAAACTCATACAGAGGGCGCTGTTTTGCTTTTTTCGTAGAATTGACTGGAAGAATCCAGGTGACCTTTTAAATTTATGACTAAAAGCTCGAAAGTGAACTTCTGTGAACTTTTAATCCAACCAATTCCAGTCGCCAAAAATCACTTTTTGACGCAGTCCATGCCGTTTGTCCACGTACTATAGGTACAAAAATATCAGTATAACCGACGGTAACAAGTATCGCTTTAGAAAGCAGTACTTGTTACCGCCTTTAAATTGACGGACATGGAAGCTTTCTTCCGAAAAAGCCTAATCCACCAAAATGCCTCAGAAGTCGAAAGACTTCGGAAGCAAATTCGTAGAAGAAGAAGCAAGCAAGTGGAGACAAAAGTTATTATCAGATAAAATATCGTATATAGACAAGATAAATTTTTCTTATTAATCCCAGCCTACACACTGAGACCGGTTTTCGATGTCTCTTCTGAATGGCAATCTTTGTATGTTTGCTCGAACAAGTTTCTTCGAATTTTTTTTTAATTTTTCACATGCCATTCGAAGGAGTATTCAAAATGACTACTAACTCTGCAATAACTATACTGATTTCATATTTTTAGTACTTTTTAAAAAAAGACCGCGCATATGGCAGTCCCAAAATATATCTAGCTTCATTTTGTAGAGCCGACAATTCTACATTGATTCATATACAACAGAGCATTTTAAAGCAGAAGCACGATGCACGTTTAAATCAAGTATTAGAGATACGCATCGACTGAAACATTTTACATTTTTTAAAGTAATGCGTGCGCTTACCTCCCAGTCTTTCCTTTGAGAAAAGCAGCCCTCACAGAGATTCCGACTCTGGAAGCTTCAGAAGACGACATATATATGATTCAGAGCTTTTTTAGATGCAACTGTAAGCTCAGAAAGTTTGAGTGATTCCACTACTTCACAAAAGTCAGACCCAACTCAATGTTTCATCGGAGGCTTAACTCTCTCTCAAACGACATGGATCTTCTAACTGATAAGAATAAGTGCAGGAACGAAGAAAGTTTTTTTCTTCAGAGTTTTATTAACGATAAGTAGAAGCTACAACAAATAAATGTACCAAAACTCTGTTTTTATCCTAATTTCGCTCTTCAATTACTTATTTCCTTGTAATAAATGTCCATTTTCTTCAGTCCATTGAGCAATACTTGCATGTAATGCATCCCAATCAATTTCAGGGAATGTGAAGGTTCCGCTAAATAGACCACTTAAACCACTTAAATCCGGAACTAGTCCACGTTGTGTACGACGATCATGAATGGGAAGTGCTGTCGTTAAACTGAGAAGTAATGCAATGGAACAGAGAACGATGAATGTGAAACGCATGTTCGAAAGAAGAATAAAGAACGGTGTGGATTTCAAAGAAATGAAAGAAAAATTCGAACCTTTCAAATCGAAGTTTTTCAAAATGTGATAGTGTGTGAATATTAGCAGATGGTCAAATATGGCGGACAGAGAGTAGGCGAATTAAAAGGGAGGAGTAACACTTAGTCAGCCTAAGTGAAGTTAGTAAGAGGAATAGAAATAAAGTCTAGGAGAGAACTAAACAGGTGTTTTATATTTATACAGCGTAGGAACGAGGTTCGTGTTTTTGAAATAAAAATGAGAACATGAAAAGAAATATTCCGCTCTCTCCTACAGAAGCGTTTTTTTCGCTAAAATTCCTGATTCCGAGCAGCCTTTTTCAACATGACATTCTTATCAACCTTTCAGCCTTGAAATAGAATGGCGAATATCATTTTTCTTTAGCTGTAGAACACCATCACTTTTCTGCTTCTATGAGACCTGTACCCTTTTCATTTCTTAAATTTTTAAAGAAGAAAAAAGAATAGAAACGGAGATACTTATAAAAAGAAACAACGAAGAATGATTGATATTCTTGTTAGATACATGCCACCGATACAACTATAACTTAAAAAGAAAAAACAAACAAACATCCATTCTTCAGTTTTTTGTGGGAGTAGCACAATTATCCATTATTCGCTCATTTAACCGAAGAATTAAAAATGAACAATCACTCGTATGACAAACAGACAAAAGCAAAACGTTATTCATTTCTAATATTCACACGATGAAGAAGAAAAACGACGAACATATGCAAAAAACTATGTATCGGTTGCTGGGTTTTAACCCGCTTAATCTTTTGATGGACAAAACAAGAACTTTTTTAAGAAAATTACTCGACGCGAAGGTTATTCCCGGTGTCTTATATACCAAATTATTGCCAAGGCTCTACATTCTTACCACATCTTTATTTTCTATTTAAAGATTACAAACCAAACATACCTGTCAGACCGATACTATCCAATACCACAGGCCCAGTTGTTCAGACGTCGCGGTTCTTAGATTTATTGCTAGAACCGATTTTCAGTCAGATTTCAAAAGATTACACAATTGAAAACTCGATTATATTAGTCTCGAAATTACATCAATATTTTCAAGACACAATGAACAGTGGTACATATTCTGTTACATTCGACATCACAGACTTGTATACAATTCTCCTTGAAGAGACCTTGAATAGCATCAGCAGGATGTTGATCATGTACAATAAACCGTCAGAATTTAATTTAACGATAGATACAATTATATCAGACTTTGTCGTTTCGTTCCCTTAAGTAACTTTTTTACTTTAGACAATCAATTTTATCTACAAATCAGAGCTACGGGCTCTCCTCTTACGTTGACTGTATTAGATTAAAAAGACTTGCTTTAAATAATTTTAATTGAAATATAATTTTTACTGTAATCGAACGTATATTTAGAGTTTGTATAGGCAATATGGACCTAACATAATGAGTAACCAACTTGTATCACACATAACTTACGAGGGGCCTTTTCCAACTGTCTAATCGCTTTCTGGTCGACATCTAGTGGGTTATAGCCCATCGACCACGCTGATTACGAATATTCATATGAGACGGGCCGCTAGACCTTCCTAGACCGATTTTCTGAAAAACTGGTTTTCCAGAAACCTCGAAAAGTCCCTACAACTTTCTCTTAATAGATCTCGATTGTAGCCCACGAAATTCTGATCAGCCTGATCAGATGCGATGACTGTACTTTTACAAAAATGAGCCAGAAACAAAAATCGAGAAAATCATCTCGAGGCACGATTGTTTCCAATACACAACAAGAAAAAAATAGTTCGATCGATGACACATCATCATTTTTGGAAGCCCAATCAACAAGCAATAGTACAATCACAAATACTCGTACATTTTCTCTTCGATCGTCTAAAAATGCCAAACAAACAACAACCACTCATGAAATGTCAGAGAGTGACCAATCAGATTACCAACCGAAAAAAGGAAAGTATTACACAACCAGCAAAAAGGGTAAAAGTGTTTCTGGATGTAAACGAAGGCGATACAGCAAACTTCAAGCCAATAATGAATCCAACGTTTCTGATACAGAAGATGATTTCAGAATAAAAACAATTTCAAAGTTTAAAAGCAAAAAAACATCTAAAAACCATCAACGACCAACTACAACTGCGTCTCGATCAATTTTTTAACAAGTTCTTTCTTCAATGGTCAGCGTTTGATAAAAATAAGGGGACAAGAGACGTCGAAGAGCATTTAATTCAAGCAGAATGTGCCCATCCGCAATTTGGCTATATTTTCAAGCCGATCTATAGAAGTTATTTTCGGTGAGTTATATGCACATTTACTGAAAACATATATAAAACTGACATTTCATGTTTTAGTTATGATGAAATAATTATAGATCTGCTTCACATGAAGTTAAGAATATCAGACGTACTGCTTAAACATGCAATACGACTTGCATGCGAAGTGACATCTCCTAATATCACTCAAGAACGAGCTAAACAACAACAGAATGCGTTCTTTTTTTTCAAGCAGCATGCCAAAAATACAAAAGTAAGTTTGCCTGGATCTTTAAATCAATGAGCAATATTTGCTAACTAAGATATGAAACTTATACTCTTAATTATAGACACACATTTAGTTCGTGCTTATCAAGGGTACATGTGGTTTCGAATTGAAGGTTGCTAGTCCAATAAACGGAGATATTCACGATGCTTTTACTAGAAACATACCACTAGAAGCCACCGTCGACGAAGGAAACCAAGACAAAGCTTTCGCTTTAGTCGCACTTATTCATCGATTTTATGATATATTAAAGCTACTGAAAAGTGAGAATAAATCACAAAAATATTATGTTTCTGAAAAATACTTGCAACACATGGGGCCCAAGATTTTATCAAAATGTTTGGGTATGAGTGAATCACTCCATACATTCATGTTCTTGGATCTCATGCGGCAGAATTTCAACATCGATTCGGTGATTTAAACAAGTTCTCATTACAAGGTATTGAACGTATGAACGATTTGTTAACATCTGACTATTTTCGATCGTCGAACAAGAAAGGAAGTTATATAAGACAGATTATGCGGAAAAGATTATTACAAGTTATACTACGTCTGGAAAAGTCAGCAGTAATCGAACTGTTCGAAGAATTTAGTGAACTTACTGAGAGCTTCAATAAATTGTCGAAGCCACAAATGTACAATGATGAATTAGATGAACAAGGGTCAGATATATCCCAACACGAGGATATGATAGTTGACTATGATTCTACTACTGACTATTAACCAGTAGTTTTATTCTTCTGTTGTGTCTTGAACAATTTCAATTAAATCCATTTAAATGTAATATTATAAATATAACTGGTCAATACTTTATTCTTTCGGGCACACTGGAAAAATGTAAGAAGCGGAAATACTACACCATAAACATAGAAAATTAATTGAAATTAATTGAAATTTAATCAAGACAAACCGAAAGTATTTGAGTTATTTTTCGAGGTGAAACATATCATCAATACTCTTATTACGGAACTAGCAAATAGGAAAATATTTCTTTCTCCACAGGATATTTCATGTTTCCCACTATTTCTCTGCAGTCGCTGTCATCGATTATTTAGCATTTTTCAGTTCATCATTGTTTTCATTGACTGTTTTATTCTTGCACATTAGAATCACAGCCAACAACATTAAGCGAAAAGACATGATTTTTTTTGCATTGTTTCCCTTTTAACTTAACATGTCTGTGATTCAAATGGAGGTCAGACTTCAGGCTACTTTCCGTTCCACAACTCTTAAAATTTTTCTGTGATAGTAGACTCAACACATCTATTAAACCATGCAGATCAGATCTAGACAATTCACTGCCATGAACCTTTTTACATTTCTGCATAGACAAAAGTCTTCTAAATCTAAAGGTAAGACTTGTTTCAATTTAGAGAAAAATGACGAGTTGCGATCGATACTCGAGTCATACACGTAGAATGTCCGACATTTGCGAGCATTTGCCAAGAAAAGGGAAAGATATTCCTTATTTGATACGGCTCTATTAAAAGTGCGAAGGACTTATGCTTCTTAACTCAAACTGAAACCGCTGTGTACTTACATTAGAATATTGACCAATAGTAGGAGTTATTCTCCGTTATTATAATGCTTTAACGAAAGATGATCTGTGAATTTAAAACTTCAAAAATAGAAGAAAAAATGATCGTCGCTTCACACGACATTGGAAACATAGAGACTTTTGGTATATAACAGTCATCCCTTTTCTTTCCCTGTTGCATTTAAACTCGAATATGAAGACGTCTTTATAGAACATATATTTTTTCAATGTGGGGAAACTATCAGAAGAAAAAAAGAAAGAAACGTGCATCTATTCGAACACTGGTCTATATCTGTGAATTAAATGTTCTTATGGTACGAGTTGATTCTATATACGGCAAACATGATGTATGTGATCTGTATTTGTGTCGCTAGGCTTTATGCAAACAAGACGTATTACAATTCTTTTCTTTTTTTAAACATTTTATATACGTTATATATATATAATAGTTTGAGATCTCTCAGTTCGGAGTGGTGCCAAAAGTCACGTTTTTGGCGCGAATGTTCGAAAAATAGTTTATTGTACTCAGTGGCTGTTATCTGTATAAAGTGACGTCACGCTTGCTACGTTGGCGTCCCTTCATATCCGTCGAAGAGTATACGTCACAACATATAGATTATCTTGCATAATATCTTTTACTCACGTATATTAGTAATATATTCTTTTGATAAGAATAGAAAACATCACCAAGTGGAGTAGTTTCATTGTCGTGACCTTATTTTTTCCTAAAATTTTTCGGTTTTTGTTCTGAATTTCAATGTGAATGTTGTAATTGAAAAATTGGCCGATACGAAATCGATAGCTTATTTGAGTTACAGGTCGTTACTTTAATTCCGTATTTTTATTTAAACATTTAAAAATATTTAAAAAACTTTAACAAAACAAACGTTTCA